AGAGCAGCGATACCGATCTCCGAGTCGAACATCTCGTCGGCGCTGTGACTAGCGTTCGGCACGAGCTGCCAGCTAAAAGCAGCAGGATCTTGCCCGCCATTCTTCCTATTGACATGCTTGTGAAAATTCTGCGCCCTTTCTTGCCGATTATCGCCTTGCGCGACAGCTGCAGGTCTCTTATCGATGCTCTTGCTCTCGCTCACCCCCTTGTTGTCCAGCGCTCCGTTCAGGAAACGCACCGTCCTTGCTGCAAATCGCTCAAACAGCTCCTCGGGACTCTTTGAAGCGTCGGCATAAAAGCCGAGCTTCTGGCTGATGCCGTCGAATCCGTACTTGTATTCGTTTTGACCTTTGAACGCTCCTCCGTCCGTATCCTTGACGGGCCGATCGTTGTCAAAGTACAAGTAGCTGGACGGGTTGGCCACCACCCAGGATGTCTTTAGACCGGAGACTTGCTTGCCGAGGATGGCATGGCGGAGCATGAGCTGCGAGCCCATCGAGTGACCTGCAAAGGTGATGGACTGCAAAGCGGGATAGAGGTTCTTGTCGGTAAAGTGGTGTGCGATGGCATCGATGATATCAAACGTCCCAATGGCACTGCCAGAAGGGAACAAGATGCGTTCTCCACTTCCCCAACCGTCGCCTTTCCAGATGCAAAGATCACCATCCGCAGACGTCTCGCCGTCAGCACCGTTGAACTGGACAAGGAGCAATCGTTTGCGAGTCAGCTGAGCACAAGCCCATGCCATCAGCAACAGCAGTATTCCACGAGGAACTCACAATCTTTGGAGCCACAATGGCGATGTTCTTCTTGCCGGATGTTTTCAACGCGCTCTGCACAGCTTTGAAAGCGTTGTTGGCATCACGCTCTGCGGAACGAGCGGCGCAAACATCCGTCAGCGGGTTTTTCTTTTTGCGCCACATCGCCTTGAAAGCGCAGCGGATACTCACGATGACCATGCGCAACGACGACGACCTGTTTGGTCTGCTCGCCTGGCGCATCATCGCCTTTGGAGATGTACGTATCGATCTCGAAGCTTCCTGCGCCGCCAGGTCGAGGAAATGTGAACTTGGCAATGTTGGCGCCAGAGACTAAGGGGAGAGGACCGAGGGAGAGAACTTTTTGAGCTGCTCGAGCTTCGCTTGCGACCATGCAGAGCGCTAAAAGGGCTATCAAGATGGTCGTCGGTAAAGTATAGAAAGCGAACGTGTTGCGTGCGCACAATCTCCTCCTTCTCGCTCGCATTGGCAAGAAGAAAGAGCAGCACGCGTTCAAAAAGGCGCCAAAATAAAGAGAAGAGATGTTGTGCAATGTCGACCAGCGAAAGTGTGTTGATGAGGATGAAAGAGTGTGGATGAAAGGGAAAGGGAAGGGGAGCGAGAAAAGCATAGCATCCTCACCCTCTTCTAGACCGCGCTCGTTGCCCTTTACAAAGCAAGATTCGTCTTTCGACTTGGCCAACATTTTGCGCGACCTCGACCTGCCCTGCTGCCTCTTTTCCTGCCCCTCGCCTGGGTACGTGGGTTCAATGTGCTTGTTGCTTGTGCAAGA